GATGATGAAAGTAAAAAGTTATGTACAATTAGTACCCATAAGGGTTTGTTTGAGTACAATAGATTATGTTATGGCATATCATCTGCTCCTGGAATTTTTCAGCGCATAATGGAGCATACCTTACAAGGAATACCAGGTTTAGAGGTATTTTTAGATGACATTCTTGTAACAGGACAAAATGACTCTGAACATATTAGTAAATTAAAGTTAGTTCGTAAACGACTACAAGACAATGGTTTCACAGTCAGTAAAAGTAAATGTAAATTTTTCTGTGAAAGTTTAAAGTATCTAGGGTTTGTCATTAGCAAACGAGGGTTGGAAACTTCACAAGACAAGGTCAAAGCAATTGTAAACGGCCCAGAACCAAAAGATGTAACCCAATTAAAAGCATCTTTAGGCTTAGTTAACTACTACGCTCGTTTCATACCTAGAATCTCAACCATACTTACCCCTATGTATATGTTATTGAGGAAAGACACTGAGAGGGATCCTATGTTAAATCAATTTTTTGTGCGACAGTCACAATTAACTTTTGAACAAGGACTCCTAATGTGGGGTTACAGGATCGTCATCCCAAGCAAGTTTAGAACACATATTTTACAAGAATTACACAATGGCCATGTAGGCATAGTAAGAATGAAGGCGTTGGCAAGATCCTATGTTTGGTGGCCAAATATTGATTTAGATATTGAACAAATTGCTGGTAATTGTACATCATGCTTGAAGGAACGTGTAACTCCGCCCAAGTCGATTTTGCTCACTGTACCGGATAAGGCGTGGTCCCGGATTCATATGGATTTTTTCGGACCTTTTCAATCAAAGTTATTTTTAGTAATTAAAGATGCTTATTCAAAGTGGCCGGAAGTGTTACCCGTTCCATCAACGCAAGCAAAACACACAATATCTCATCTTAGAGAATTGTTTGCTAGATTTGGCTTAGTAGATCACATTGTCAGTGACAATGGACCACCTTTCACAAGTACAGAATTCCAAACATTTTTGCAAAAAAATGGAATCAAACATACATTTTTGCCACCATACTATGGCATATCAACCACATGTTTCATAATTAGTCAATGTTCTATGTTGGCAATAAGTAAATATAAATTATAAATCATATGTTATTATTAATAATTAAAGTGTAAATAAGTTATCAACAACATTAGACATTTTTTGTATCAATAAATCTTTCCAAATGAAGCAACCTTTTCAATTATTAAAATCAACTAATACGCGTGCATAAACAAGGCCACGACAAGTTGATTTGGCGACGAGTAAACCTCAACTGCATTTTCAATTATCAATCAGAAACATTTCAACTAAAACCTCATCAACATGGATCAAGAACAATTCAAGCAATTTTTGGAAATGCAACAAGCCATGATAACAACATTGGTAAGTCAACTTTCTACACAATGTTTTAACATAAAGCCAAACGATACTGAACAATCTGAAACAAACTTAACTCATACAATGGCTTATGTGCCCAACTTTGACATTTTTGACAGTAAAAAGGAATCATTCTCAAATTATTATCAACGCTTTGAGAACTACATTCAGATGAAAAATATTGCACCCAACAAAGATTATTGTGCTAAATTGCTCTTGAACTCAATTGGACCAAGCAATTTTAAAATAGTTTCATCCTTGTCTGCACCAAATAATCCGAACGAATTAACTTACGACAACCTGATCAAAATCCTAAAAGAACATCTAGAACCTAAAAGAAATGTACTTGTTTCCCAGCACCAGTTTCTATCAATCTATCAAACCGACAATCAACAATCAATCAATTTCAGAGTTTGTAAGTAATCTTAGGGATAAATCAACCAACTGTGAATTTATCTCACCCTGCGAATGTAAATCATCCATATCAAATATCTTCCTTTGCACCCAGTTCATTTGCGGCCTTAAGGACAACTCTATTCGTGAACATCTTTTACAATCTGATATTACAGAGTTCAAGGAAATCGTATCGAAGGCAATGGCTTTAGAAGCTTCCAGACTTGACTCTAAACTAATATCCCTCAAACATCTTCCTACATCGACATCAGACCTACCAGATATCAATAAGATTTCTCTTACATCAAGACAGCATGACCATTCCCCTTGTCAACACAATATTTCCAGTAGGTCCAAATGGAAACCCAAACACACTCCAAAGTCTCGAATCAACTTTGATGAATTGGGAATCAGCGGGTTATGTTTGCGATGCGGAAAATCCAATCATTTGTCGAAAGAATGTCGAATAGACAAAAACAAACTAAAATGTTCTGAATGCTCAAAACTAGGACATGTAGGTAAAGTTTGCATCAGCACACTTTTGAACAATAGGTCCAAGAATAGCTCACACTCAACTAACCAGATAAACGACACAAGTGACCACCAGTATGGTATTCAAAACATAGTAGATATATTTCAAACCGAAGCCTCACCACCGTTTCTTACAGTTGTGAATATTGAAAACAAACCTGTAGAATTTGAAGTTGACTCCAGTTCAGGGTATACATTTCTTCCCATAGACAAGTTCAATCAATTACACCTCAATCTTTCAATCCAACCAACTGACTTACTTTTTAGATTTTACACAAAAGATGTATTCAAACCTTATGGAAAAGTAGAGGTCAATATAAAATACAAATCTAACATCTCCAAAGGTGAAATCTACATTGTACCAGACAACTGCCCATCTATCTTAGGACGTCAGTGGATTCGCAATTTACAAATCAAGCTATCTGAAATAGACAATCATCAAAAATCCTCACCATACACCATACACACTAAAGCAAGACAGTACAAAGTAGGAGACCGAGTCCAAGCACGGTACTACTCGAACGACAAAAATCTGTGGAAACCAGGCACCATCATTAAGAAGTTCGGACTCTTACACTACCTGATTAGACTAGACAGTGGATATATATTTAAAAGACACATCGACCAACTACGACTTACTGAAATACCATCAAAGACTGTCAAATTTGCTCCCACATTACAAGAAGCTACTTCGGAAGAACCAGGACCACATCATCCATTTGAAGACCTCATCACCATCCCTACTGAACAACCACCGCCACGAATCAATAAACAACTTCAACATAAGACAGGAAACGAAAGTCCAGTGCTGCGCAGATCCAACAGAACACATCGCCAGCCTGAATATTTGAAAGACTTTGTCAGGTCTTCATTTTGTTGTTTTTTTTTTTTTCAATATTGCCAGTTTCAAAACAAAATTATCTTTTTAATAAGCGTGGGAGAATTATAGTATATCAACCACATGTTTCATAATTAGTCAATGTTCTATGTTGGCAATAAGTAAATATAAATCATATGTTATTATTAATAATTAAAGTGTAAATAAGTTATCAACAACATTAGACATTTTTTGTATCAATAAATCTTTCCAAATGAAGCAACCTTTCCAATTATTAAAATCAACTAATACGCGTGCATAAACAAGGCCACGACACATACAACCCAAAGACTAATGGCTTAGCCGAGAATGCTGTGAGAACAGTAAAACACAAACTTAGAATAGCACTACAAGACACTTCTGATTTGAACTTAGCATTATCAAATTTTTTGTTTACATACAGAAATACAGTACACTCCACAACCAATCAAACACTAGCAGAGTTAATGTTAGGCAGATCTCTGAAATCAAGGTTAGATTTAATTAGACCTAATTGTCATTAGTAGTAATCAAAACAGACAAGTTTAAGCTTATGGTGGTGTCACAACACGTAGATTATTTGTTAATCAACCTGTGTTAGTGGTGACCGCACACTGACAGGGAACAGTAGCGAAGGTATGCGAGCTCTTCCGGGCACAGTCGGACAGAGAACTCCGATATTGACTAGGTCACCTGGCGCAAACCAAAACATTGAAAGAGCGGGGTCATTGGCTTCGCCTCCAAATGTAAACAGACAGACGCCTACTAGACGCTTTACTGTCCGGGAGCGCAAACCTGTAATAAGATTAGACCTTTAATTGAATACCCGGACATGACTTGTATATAGATTTATTTATTATATCTCCTTATTAATGATTTTCAAATGTTTATTAATTGAATTGTGTGTACCCTTACTTGTGTTATCAATATTTAATATCATCAAGGTTCGATGTTTAATGCTATTAATGCTTATGATTTCAATTGTGTGTTTCATTTACTTGTGTTTTTAATGTGTGATATTATCTCAATATTTTGACCATATATTTAAAAACTGATGATTGATTGATTCTCATTCTTATTTAAATGATTGACAAACAAAATAATAATAAGATATTCTGATATTGCTATTTGTGATTATAAGTTTTCAAGATTATAGTAACCGATAGTATCACAAAACCATATACTGATAATTCGTACCATAATGTTACAATAGTTTGACACTCGTACCATCATGTTACCACAATCTCTGTTTAGGTTGGTAATATGTAAAATCAGGTGATGTTTCTAATAAAGCAGCTCATGGCTATTTCCCATGACGTCATATCACGCCACCATCACCCCCACCTTTCTGAACACAGTCTAAATCCTCACTCCTCACGTCAGTCCACACCATGTCTTAGACCAGTCAACACCACATACCCTTTGCGGCCCTCTGAGCCTTTTAAAATGTAACCAGTGTTCTTATTTACTTACAACACCCATCCCTGACTTCCGACGTACAGTACAACGACGACGTACCGTACAGTTGAAAGTAAAAAAAATTTTGATTTAAAATTTCCATGTTATTCTTATATAAGTAATTAGTAAACTGTGTGTGTTTGCCCTTGTTTATAAATATATTTTGACCAAACTTATCCAATTAATTTAGGTACGGTACTCTACACTCTTTAATCCTAATGTTATTGAAATACATTTAATGATTTAATTGAAAATCAGATCAGGCAAATGAAAATTATCTTAGTCTGCAGGTTTGCTGCAGAAGGGTATTTTTTGTTTTTCCTCCTAAATCTATGATTAAATGATTATTTAACTTTTTTTTATGATGTTTCAGTTCAAGTTGCCTGTAACGCCCAAACCTGAGATATGCCGCTGTCCCCTCGAGCTTGTTGTTCTCAAGTGTAAACGTCTGATGGAGGATGAGTGTCCCCTGAAGATCATCAGCGATGCCATAGATCCTCCCGACCTCGATAGCTATGAGAAAACTATTCTTAAACTAAAAGAGGTAACAAAATAGTTCAACCTAAATGTCCTTAACACATTGAGTGCGGTAAAAATGTCTGCAAACACAACAGGTGCACCCCACCAAATCTGAGGTGTTAACGTGCACCCTAGGGCCTGAAATTTTTTCAAACATAAAATCTTAACTAATGTTTCTAAAAGTAAGTATTTAGGCTGCAAACTGTGTTTCTAGCCGTTTATCCAACAAAAAAATTGCTTCAAAAACCCCCAGTCACTGGCCTGTGCACTGACTTCTGTTTAAGCTCCGTGACAAAAATAATCCATTTTTGGATTCACAAATAATGTTTCTTACACTGAAAAAAGGGTGTCTAGTCGGGAAAGTCGGGAATTAGTATTGAATTTCAAAATGGTCTTGAAGAGTCGGGATTTAGTCTTTATTTTGATATTAAAGTCCATGACCGCGAAAGTCAATGATGGTGATGTCTACACGGCCTCGGGAGATGTTCACGATTTTGCCGCAATTGCGGACGAAGACAATGACGCTTCCGTGACTGCGGGAGACGACGATGATGACAACAGGGCCGTGGGAAATGTAATTGATTTTTCCGTGAACGCAGACGACGACGATGACGTTTCCGTGACCGCGGGGGTCACGGAAACGTCATGGAGACAATGGTGATGTCTTCACTGCCGCGGGAAATGATCATAATTTTGCCGTAATCGCGGACGACGACGATGACTTCTGTGAACGCTGAAGTCAATGATGATGTCAACACAACCGTGGGAAATGATCATAATTTTGCAGCGATCGCGGACGACGACGATGACGTTTCCGTGACCGCGGGAGACGACGATTATGTCTACACAGCTGCGGGAAATGTAACTGATTTTGCTGCGATCGCAAACGACGACGATGATGATGTTTCCGTGATCGCGGGAAATTATCATAATCTTCCTGTGATCATGGACGACGACGATGATGTCTATACGGCGGTGGGAAATCATCATAATTTTCCTGTGATCGCGGACGACGACGATGACGTTTCCGTGACCGCGGGAGTCGACGATGATGTCTACACGGCTGCGGGAAACGTAATTGATTTTGCCGCGATCGCAGACGACGACTATGACGTTTTCGTGACTGCGGGAGGCAATGGTGATGTCTACACGGATGACGGCGATGTCGTTTCTGTGAACGCGGGAGATGACGATGTCTACAAGGCCGCGAGAAATGATCATAATTTTGCCATGATTGCGGACAACGACAATGATGTTTCCGTGACCGCGGGAGACGACGATTATGTCTACACGACCGCAGGAAATTTTCATGATTTTGCCCTGATCGTGGACGACGACGATGACGTTTCCGTTACCATGGGAGCGAATGATGATATCTACACGGCTGCGGGTAGTGATCATAATTTTGCTGTGATTGTGGATGACAGGGATGACGCTTCCGTGACCGCGGTAGGCGACAGTGATGTCTACACGGCCGCAGGAAATGTTCATGATTTTGCCACGATCGTGATTATCGTTAAAAAAGCATCATCATACGTATTTCCTACATAGAATCCAAAGAGTTTTCCAATCACAGCTTTGGAACTCTACTAAGGTTAATCATTCTGATTTTAACCAATGTAACATTTTAAAATAATAAATTTTTGCCCTTACCTATTTTATTTGTCCTTGGTACAAAATGGGTACGGTACAGGGATTCCAGTATTTTTCTCATTTTATTTAATTGATATTACTATAAAAATAAATGATTTCCTACATTTATGGTTTTCTAACAATTACAGTATCATACACTATCAACACCTTTGACTCCCAACATGATTATGTCAAGGAAAAAAAAAACAGTTAAGATAAAGGCTAAACCTTAAAATAGGCTTAACCTATTTTACTACTCAGATAGGTCATATCCATAATAAAGTAGCCTAGTTAAAAATTAGGTGAAGAATTTTAGGAATATAATATAAACATGTTTGCAGCAATATTTTGACAAGATAATGTAACACAACTGGTTACTTTTTTCCAACCAACACAATAACGGGTTGTTTAATTTAAACTTTTAAAAACATATGAATGCTTTCAGTTAGGGGTCTGTGGTGCACCAAGGTACTAGCCTTAATTAACGTTGTCAGTGTATAACAATTAATTACTTTCAATTCACTGTCGTTGGTTAGGAGCACATAAAAAGGTTTATCAGATGATTGTTTAGGATTTTCTTAATTTATTACTATTTACTTGGAGTAATGGAACAATAAAAAAACCCATTAGCAGTCCCAAAACCATTAATATTTTATGACAACAATAATAATTATTGTTGTAGGCAAGTCAAGTACTTCCAAGAACTTGTTGAGTCAGTAGTTTAGCTCTATAACATTTTATCACTTTTATTCCTTTACGACTTCCATGATTTATTTAATTTAATGTTTGAAAAAGTCAGAATAGAAATACTAAAAAGGCAAAACAATAGAAGGGTGGGATGGGTTTGACAAAGACCTCGAAAGGAGAGGGCCACTGTGAATGGAGAAGGCAAGGGGGGAGGGAAGGGTGCAACCTTGAAGCTATATTTAGACTAGAGGGCTGGCTCGGCCTGGGATTCTAATAGCAGGACAATTGATACAAAGTTGTATTTTCGGGAATCCTTTGCCCGGTTTGACTTCAGATTCTCTTTTCCTGTGTAGAAACTTATCATCAAAAATATAACAAATAAATTTTCTAGATATTACAATCTCAAAAAATAGCAACAGATATACATTTAACATATTTAGAAAACCTACGACCACAGACATCATTATTCCATACTATTCCAATCATCCTTGGAGTCATAAAATCGCTAGTTTCCATTCACTTATCCACAGACTTATTAATATTCCCTTGAATAAAGAAAACTTCAAAAAAGAAAAAAATCCATTAAATACTTAGCAGATAAAAATGACTACAGGGCAAAAATGATAGACAATATGATAATTGATAAAGAAGAAATTGAAAAACAAAATACAAAAGCAAGGAAAATCAACGGAAAATGAAGAGAAAAAGAAATATATGTGTTGTATACCTTATAACAAATATATGACTAAAGCAGTAGCCTAACAAATACATTTAAAAACTTGGATATAAGAGTAAGTTACAGAACAATATATTCAAATTAATCAATAAAAAAATCAAATACACAGAAAATAATGAAGACAAAAAGTACAACAAATCAGGAATCTATAAGATCAACTGTAGTGACAGTAGCAATTATAATATAGGTCAAACATCTCTAAGTTTTAAAACAAGATTCAAAGAACATCTACAATGCATTGAAATGAAAAAATCTAACTTCAATGAAGTCGAACTTCGCCGACCATATAATGAACTCAGACCACAGTTATAAAAACTTGAAAGAAAATCTAACAATTTTAGAATATGAAAAAGAACGTGAGAAACTTAATGTAAAAGAAGAGCTAAATATTTATCTACATAATAAAAATGACCCCACGAACATACTTAATACTTTAACACTTTCTTATTAAATCGCGACCATACAAAGTAGGTATTTTAAGCCATGAATGGAGATCAGTGTAGGATGAGTGGCGCGATCTTGTAGTCTTGTTAGTGACTAAGGTAGATAATACAGTGTTTCCAAAATCAATCCAACCAATCTACGACTAAATAGAAAAACTAAGGAAAGAAGGAAAACATTGAATATAGTATAATGAACAAATTAATACCAAGATTTATAAGGATTTATTTAACATATTTTCTATTTAAATTATTTTTAAATATGATTATATTATTAATTTTGTTAGTTGAGGTTATTGAATGAGGTTATGGTGAATATGACTTGATAATGGACTTAGTTTCCGAAACATGTCGTCATTAAAAATAAAATAATTATTTAAAATGGCACTTTGTTAACTATGTTTTTGATTTTTATTATATTAGTAGCCCTAAACATGCAGGAAAATAATATATATATACAGTATACTCCCGATTATCCGAGGTAATTGGGACCTGGACCACCTCGGATATGGGAAAACTCGGATAATACGGAGGTTATGTACGGTTATGGTATAAATGACGTAAAACCCCGTGAAAGTTTACTGAACTGGTTTATTAGAATAAATAACATATAATAGATGAAATATAATACCTGTAAGCAAACATGAGCACATATTATTTCTTAAAAAAGTCTTTGATCGTCTTCTGAGCTAACCTCTTCCCTCGCTTGGATGATGCAATGTTGCGCCAACGTTGTAGAGTAAGAATGTCGTGTGGGGTACACTCTTCTTGCTGCTCTATGAATGCAAGAGCAGCGTCGATCGCCTTCAGCCCGTCGGTGTATGATATTTTGGGAGTTATCTCGTCCAAATCGTCATCATCTTCGTTGTCCTTGTCACCGGTTACCATGTCAATTATTTCCACGTCATTAATTAACATCTGACCATCTTGATTGCACCAATCGTGAATATCTTTGCTGTCAATTTGATTTTCAACGGGTAACTCATTGGCTAGTTCGACTAGTTCACTCACGTTCTCGGGTTCTGGTGCTTTTTTTGGTGGTCCATCTATGCCAAATAAATTCTTCCATGACTTTTGAATGGTGGCAGTTTTAATCTCATCCCACGCTGAGGCTATCCAGTACGACACGTCTTTCAATGTGACTTTTTAAAAGGCGTTTTTAACAGTCATTCCTTCGTCTAACTTTGAAATCAACATCTGGAGAAGCTTTCGCCGGTAGTTCCTCTTCATCGCTTCTAGAACCCCTTGGTCTAGCGGTTGTATAAGCGAGGTAACATTAGGGGGTAGAAAGATTGCCCTAATATCACCATTGCACAGTTCTTGGGCATCGGGGTGAGATGGCGCATTGTCCAATAGTAGAAGAGCTTTCCTGGGAAGCTTTTTTTTTTTCAAAAATGCTTCACTGACAGGCACAAATTCTTTGAAAAACCACTCACTAAATATCGGGCTGTCCATCCACGTACTCCTTTGGTTACAATATTTTGTTGGCAGGCAGTCAACTTTTATATTTTTAAAAGCTCTTGGATTTTTTGCCTTTCCAATAAGCAGCGGCCTTAACTTCAATGAGCCAGAAGTATTAGCTGTAGCCAGTATTGTAACCCTCTCCTTGCTTTTTTTAAAATCCAGGAGCAGTCCTCTCAGATTTTGCTGCCAAGGTCTTAGAAGGCAGTAGTCTAAAATTAAGGCCCGTTTCGTCCGAATTGAAAATTTGATCTGAAGTTAATCCTTCCTACAACACAATTTCTTCAATTTTCTTTTGGAATTCCGTGATTTCAGATGTGTCCACTGATAACTTCTCCCCACTAATGTTAAGCTGCCTAATCCCATATCTCTTCTTCCATCGGTCCAGCCATCCTTCACTCGCCGTAAATGTTTCCTCTCCGTCTTTAAAGTTTTTATGGTATTCAATCGCCTTAGCCTGTAGCATTGGCCCACTCACAGGACTGCCCATCCCTCGAAGCTGGGAAAACCACAAAAAAAGAGCCTCAGACGTCTGCTCGTAGTTGCCCTTCTTTAAAGTCTTTCTACTAGGAACGCCGCCTCCACTCACACTCTTGTTCACAAATTTTTTGATTTCTTCCCAATTTCGTCTCCAATCACCAACTGTCACTTCCCCAACCGCCAAATCAGCAGCTACCTTTTTAATGGACTCACCTTTGTCCAAACGTTTAATCGTGTTAAATTTTGTTTCAAGAGAAACTACAACCCTCTTCCGTTTCCCACTCATAGCAACAATGAAAATCAACAACAAACGATGAACAATCGGCAACAGTAAAAGACAACAATAAACAATAAACAATCAATTAAAGTGGCAAAAAAACACATCAACACAACCACGTTTAGCGCGAGTACGACTTAACACCAACCTAGTTCAGAGCTAACTGAAACTAAAAAGTGCCAGGTGGATATGAAAATACGCGGGTTCCAATAATTCGTGGAATGCTCGATCTAGCAACAGCTAATAAAGATATCAGGTGCTACAGTACTTCTTAGAATTTATTGATTATCTGCGTACTCGTGCAATAAGGATCCACGGCTCGACCTAGCAACAGCCAGTAGTCTACAGTACAGTGAGTAGATAAGTCTATTACTCGACCTAGCAACAGCCAGTAGAGACGTCCACTGCTCGACCGCGCTTGTTAAACAAATAAAAATCACGGCTCCCCGTAGCTATCTCGATATTAAGACCTTTATTTATATTTAATATTTTGTTATGACTGGCTCGGTTAACCCGGAGGCTTGGTTAACCGAGACTCGGATAACCGGGAGTTTACTGTATACACACATATATAAACATTTGAACGAAAAGTGTTTTGGGCCTCTTGGGACATTAAAATTAAAAAGTAAATCGGTCCCGAGCCTAGGTCTTACCGTGACACCTACGGTAATAGCTACTTCCCAGGGAAATTCGCTAAAACAACAAAAAACTAGTTAGGAACAGCTTAATTTGTAATTTGACTGTACAGTTTTATAGTTAACACTTTAAATCAAAAGGTATATTGTAAAAAGCATCTGACCCCTCCTATTACAATGTTAAAGGGGTAACATTGGTGACACTATGGCAAGATTGTTAGTGCCAAGTGTGCTGAATTATGAAAAATCCCTTGGGTTATTTAACCCAAAAACTATATAAATGAAGTAATGATATAATTGAACTATTTACTCTAGATTGGAGCTCTACTGTTAACTACTAGAGGAGTGGAGGATCTTGAAGATGGAGATTTGACTTTCTTGGGCCATGTGATGGGAAGCCTGCCTGTTGACATAAGGATCACTAAACTCATCTTGTTGGGACACCTATTTGATGTATTGGAAGAAGCTATCATCATGGGTAAGTGTTTGGGGGGAGATGTTAGGGGTAGCGATTGAATTAAGCCTCAAATTAGAGATGTGTCGATACTAAAATTTATCTACTCTAGATAACAATACCTGCAATATCTTAAAATAAAAGATATTAAGGATAAAAAAAAGTTTGGACAAAAACTTAAAGAATTTTTGATAGAAAACCCCATCTACTCAATAGATGAACTTTTTATGAATGTATACAGCTATAGATAGTTTTATTTTCTGTATTTTTTGTTTAGGTTAAGTATTTGTACATAGTAATTATAAGCTTGACACTATTTATTGTACGTTTTGTACATAATATAAATAAAGATAATTTGAATTTGAATTTGCTATGTGTCGATGTTAACTTTGCAAATGAATGTCTTTTCATAATCTTAATAAACTAACTCTTTGCTTACTGGTAGCCGCTTACCATACCGATTTAGAACCAAGTTACAATATACGCATTAAAGATTTTGTTTTCAAAAGTAGTTGAGAAATTAACGTTGTGCTAGGGCGGATCATGCCAAATTACCATCACGAGTTAATGTTGTTTAGAGGTTTATTGTAGACATTTCCCAATACAAAGGTAAAATGCAATGTCTCTGTGTCCGGATTGGTCAACCATGATGATTCAGTCTCATTGGTTGCATCATTGCGAACTGTGTAATTAGGGAATAGGCATACGGGAGGGACGATGGCTAAAGGTGTGGTGACGTCATATCTATAGTGGCTAATGTCTTCTCTTGAGGCAACACGATCACCGTAACGAGACGACGAAATTCCAGCGGCGTTCGTGGCTTAGTTGGTAGCGCATCGGACTAGTGTTGAGGAGGTCTCGGGTTCGAAACCCGTCGGCGACTTTAATTTTTTGTCAGAGATTTTGCTTTATTTGAATTTTATCTTATATATCTTTTTATTATATTATCAGCAAGTTTGGTTGGTTAGGTTAGGTTATGACAGTTTAATTTTATGATACAAAATTTTAAAATTGATTTTATAATTAAAAATTTCAAGTAAACATTCATTTCACTTTTATCTTATATATTTTTTATATTATCAGCAAGTTTGGTTGGTTAGGTTAGGTTATGACAGTTTAATTTTATAATTAAAAAGTTAATTTTATAACTAAAAATTATAAAATTAACTTAATTTAAATTTTTCAACTTAGCGGTTCTAGCGGCGAAAGCTGACACTATGTTAGCCATCGTCCCTCCCGTGTGTCCCACCGGTGTAATTAGTGTTCTATTCTTATGAAGTTTTTACCCTACAGTACATTATTTTTTTTTCTACATATTATTGCAGGGAGACTACCAGTCGGGAATTCCTGGAAATTCGGGAAATAGTCAGGGATTTTGAAAATTTGTGAAAAAGTAATGAACTTTGGCTGAATGTCGGGAATAATCTAACCCTTCAAAATTAAGGATGAACGGGTCCCTAAACTTCAGGACATTTTTGGGATCAAGTATTCCCGCATTGGGACGGGACTACATTTGATAGGGGACTTGATTGATTTATTGATTCTGTAGGGGCGGACCTTGTCCTGTTGCTTGTCAGCCACTGATGGGCCTCTTGCGCACATGGTACGTCAGAGTCCGTTAAACCTGAGTTGCTTGATGAGCTTCAGCATCCTATCTATAAGCTCCTCCTGAGGAAGGTGTCTGCCCCTTGTCATTGCTCCAAGAGTACTATCCCTTAACTCGTTAAGAGCTGTGCAGTCACAGAGTAGATGGTCTGCAGTCTCTCCTGACTGCCCACATTTCCTACATGCAGTGTCTCCATTGTGGATCCTCAAACAATGCAGGTGCAATTAGAGGAAACCAGGGCCAGTGACCATACCTGTGATATGTTTAAGTTGCTTCCTGTCTAAATGTAGAGCATTGGAGGTGACCATCTGGGAAGGGGAGAAGAGGGTGAGCTTACTTACCCTATGGTGTTGAAGCCTAAACCTAGATAAAACATACTCCCTAAGTAGATTTGTCATCCTTATAGAACAGCTGAAGCCAATTTTATTGTTAGTTCTGTAGAATAGAATCTTTTATTGTCGTTAAACATAATACATGTAATAGACAGTGTCACATTTAAAATAGCCTAAATTCGTCATATTCAATATGATTGTCATATTAACTTAGGCCCCTTTTATGCACGTTGTTTTCCGTCGGGTGGCATCTATTGGGCGTTCCGTCGGAGAGTGTTTTAAGTTTTAACATGGGATCAAATGGGACCCTTTTATGCATGAGGAAATCGTTGCGTTTAAGCGTTCCGTCTGGAGTGGCGGAGGACTTACACTTCGCCGAGTTTCGGCGTTTCGTCGGGGCGTTTTTTACATAGGATCGAATGGAACCCTTTTATGCTATTGCGTTTCCCGTCGGCGCAATGTAGCGCTGCCAACCTACCCTGCGCTCTGTCCACAGTATCGAAATTGCCTAATCATTGTAAATGGATGATCATTATTCATTGTAATGGATTGAAGAGTACACATAAAGAGATGTAATTGGAAAAATATTTACTGGTTGAGAATTACATTTTTGTTCAAATCCGCGGAATGATACAACCTTCATCACCATCACATTGGCAACCCTGCAGTACATACTGCAACACTTTCATTGCTGCCAACCCTACGACTTCATTCACCAGGTGTACTGTACAGCCCACCTCCTTTGTCGTCGTCTATTTTTCTTTACGCACAAATAGGTATAAACCAATAAACAAGGATCCATCTTGGGTCACTGACGATAGCCAAATGAACGAAGTTGGCAGTACTGACACCCCGCACTGCGGGCATCATAGAAAACCAGCGGATTCCGCTCGGCGGAGAAACTGCATAAAAGGGACATAGATTCTGCCCGACATTTTCGCCCGATCGAAAACGTCGTACATAAAAGAGGCCATACTTAAAACACAGAATTGCAATGACATATTCAAAAACTCATTAACATGGTAGAATGGGTTTTCTACAAACCAGTCAAAAAAAGTTTCACTGAAAATTTCTTTTTTTAGATGTTTGTCCTTTAAGAGGTTGTTTGTTAAACAGCCTAACACTCATGACTTTAAATGATTTTGAGGTTTTACTAAGCCTAAATCTATCAATAAATATTTGGTGACTTGTCCTGGTAAAGTGGTCATGGACCTGATTTGACAGCGTAAGATTTTTATAATTACATTTCACATAGACTAGACAAATAAAAATATACATATTTACAACAGTGGGGATTTTAAGTTGTTTGACCCTTCCCGGACGGGCAAAATCGTGACATAGAACAGGAAAAAATTATAGGAAAAAATAAAAATTATTTTTCCTTATTATTTGTGTTTTGTTTTACAAATATACATAAAATAAACACAATGGAACACTTCATACTGTCAAAGTAATTTTTTATTAGTTTTTAACTATGCGGATATATCTGCTACCCGTCCGCGGATGAGTAGAAAAGCAGTGGATATATCCACCACCCGTCTTTGAAGATATGACCATGACAACCTTAGGCAATAAATAAAGAACAATATGTAAACAATAAATAAAGACAATGTAGTGTTGAGCGCAAAACGTCAAGGGGGAGCGTAGGAGAGGTGGGTGGTGCGCGGGAGAGGGGGAGACGGGTCCGCGGAATTGGCTAACTCTGGAACTCGCTAACCCCATGTTAAACGCCCTATCTTCAAATTTGGTCGATGAGAGGAACTCGCTAACTTGTTCGGTTTCGGAATTGGCTAACTCCGGAACCCGCTAACCCGCTCTAGAGCCGGATTAGCGAATTCCGTCCTCGTACGGAAGTCGCTAACTTGGTCCCTCGACGGAACTCGCTAACTCCCAATAAGAAGCCTCGCGGGCCGTCCAGTGGGAGCCAAGCACGAATATTTTTGGCCAGTGTTGCCGAAAGTGTAGTACCTATATCGTATCGGTACCATAATGTCGTATCCTACGATTAATTAGGAGTAAGAGCAACGTAGTCGATAAAATAAATATATTTGGAAGTATGTTTAACATTATTCTTATGATTATTAGGGTGGAAAATGCATTATAGTCTTACCATAGAATAACCAACACAAGTAAACTTTACATCCCATTGTAAACTTTGAAGCTCGTTTTTCGTGTCTAGTTCATGTCCGGTGACACCGATCGCTAGTGTCGACAAAATTGTGTTTCTATTATTATTATTTGATAGTTAACTTCATGATTTGTTCTTTACTGTTAGGTTATATAACTAGGGGACGTGTTATTAGTTGTGATTAGAACGTTTTATTTGGTTAAACGAAGTTTTTAATGACTGAAAACAAGAAACAATTGTAAACAAAACACGACTTCTAAAGACAGCGGTGGGGCACACGGAAGATTTCTCAGGTGCCGTTTGACGTCACTAACTGCAGACGTCACTAACTGCTGCGTCTGAAGAAACAGACAATTTTATAATTTTTCTATTATTAAATTAAACTGTCATAACCTAACCAAACTAACCAAACGTGCTGATAATAAAAAAATCGAATGCAGGTTTACTAATCTAAAAAATAGTTTTTTTCATAAAATAAAATTATAAATGCCTAAAATTCAATTTTATAATTTTTTAATTATAAAATTAAACCGTCATAACCTAACCAAACCAACCAAATTTGCTGACATGAAAAAATTGTTCACAAAAAGTTAGTGCTACCAGCGGGTTTCGAACCCGGTACATTCGGATTATCAGCCCGACACGTTATCCACTACGCCACCAGCGCCGATGGTTCAAAACCGTATCGTTGCGGTAATGGTGTTCCCTCTTTGTGACGTCAAACGGCACCTGAGAAATCTTCCGTGTGCCATTTTGCTAAAGACAGTGCACCGGACAGAACTAACAATAAAACTGTCTTCAGCTGATCAATAAGGATGAGAAATCATACTAATATTATAAATGTGAAAGTTTGTGTGTTTGTTTGTTTGTTTGAAGTTCAATCACGCTTTAACTACTGGACGGATTGTGCTGAATTTTGGCATAATGATAGCTCACATTCCCGATTAACATATAAGCC